GAAATATTCATAACAGAGATCTCATTGAGGGCTTGGATTCACACGGAAGACAATAAGCGGCGGACACTGCAGAGGAATGACATAGCGATGGCCATCACGAAGTACGATCAGTTCGACTTCCTCATCGACATCGTGCCCAGGGATGAGCTCAAGCCTAACACCAAACGCCAGGAGAACGACGCCCTGCGCTCCGCAGTCACCACCACTCAGACCGTACACCCGGATCAGGTCCAGTACTACCTCCAGTTAGCCCAACAGCACCAGCAGGCGCTCCAACACCAGGGCCCACAACAGACCCAACAGATCCAGATCTTACAGACGGGTGCGACGGCTGGCGGTCAGCCCCAGTTCGCGGTGTCCCCGCAGTTAGTTCAGGTACAGGTGCCCCAGCAAACCAACAACGCTGGCGGTGACGGCCATACTGTGCAGCCAACCACTCAAGTGCTTCAGATCCAGGCGCCGAACGCCACGTCCAACCAAAAGACGGGACAAATACAGATCGTGCAGAACGTGATCAACGCCAACGGAGAGGTCGTTCAGCAACAGATACCCATCCAGTTATCGGCCCAACAGATTCAGGCACTCCTTCAGGGCCAGGCGGGCGGTCAGGCCGGCGCTAATCAGCCCATTATCCTAACCTCACCCCTACAACAGGCCATGTCTATGCCTCAGTACCAAATAGCTACCAGTGCTGCTGGCACTCAATTCCTGCAAACGGTGGTGTCCGGCGGCACCACTAATGTGGCCGGAGGTCTGACCCAACATCAGACCGACTCCTCCCCACAATTGGACGACGAGTCCAACGAGACTTAAGGCAAACACAACACACACGACGATTCACTACCATTTCCCTCATCTCTCACACTGTTATTAATCATTGATTCATTCAAATAGTTATATAAATAATACAATTAATCGTAAATTAAACGCAAGAATCACTTCTTTTCTAAGCGACAAATCCATTGAAAAGACATTTTCTATCGACAGACAGATGTTTACCGATCGACACGTTCTTTGAATGCAACAAATTTTATGTAAATTATATTCAATTGAATGACGAATAAAGTTAAGACTGTTTTGTAAATAAGTCTCATTTTAATTGATAAAATACGCCAATCATTGAACGATACGACAAACTTATGGTTCACTTTTACTTCAGTTTTTGTATTTATTTTATAATTTCAAAACATAGTTACAAATGGTTTAAACTCCGGATTTCTTGGAGTTGAAGTACTCTTTGAGGAAATCCATGGCAGGCGTCTCTTTGCCGTAGTCCTTGACGACAACACAACTGCAACCGACGACTTTGCGGGCCTTCCCTTCTTTGTCTATTTTGCAGAGTCCGGACCACTCGCCCAACTTCTTGTTGTCGTCCACTTTGATCAGATCGATCTGATGCTCAGCACAGAGCGCCTCCACCAGCTTCTGGTACATCGGCTCATCGCAGTTGGTCGCCAACACACACAAGTGGGCCTGTCGTCTGACGCAGACATACAAACACAATAATCAGTCAACACATCACTCATTCCGGTCGCTAATGACCGCTCAGTTCAACAATAGTTTCAAAGTCTTAAGAGAAGCTATTAATCAGACAATTATTGGGTAACGAATCAGGAGTTTCCGCAAGAGTTTACTCGGAAGAGGGAGTCCTGAAGATTAGTCATCATTTGCGACAAACTATTGTCACAATTGCGACACAATTGGTGTCTTAGGAAGGGCTAAGGGATGGCATACTTGTCGAGTGCTTTGGCGGCCTCGTGTAGGCCTCGGGCCAGTCCGTCGTGGGTCAATGACGTCTTCAAGACTTCTTGTAGAGCCATATTCACGTCCAGAATGGGCGCCACGGCTGTAATGGGCGCCGAAGTCTCTCTGCAAACACATCCAGAGGTGGTGTCAATACAAACACGTGTTATGCCA